ATCTGACAAAATGGGCCTCCCCACCAACTTCTCTCCTTGGGAGAATCAACACTATAAAAATGAATATTCTTCCTCTGTTGAATTATGTATTTCAAAATCTCCCGTGCTATTTGACCCCTGCATTTTTTAAGTCACTGAACTCTCATATCTCTCGCTATCTGGAACAACTAACACCAAAGAGTCAAGTTCTCTATACTTACTAAGCCAAAGGATCTGGGAGGCTTGTCCCTGCCCAGTCTACAACTATATTATTGGTCAGCGCAACTTAAAATGATGTCAGATTGGTTTATGAACAAGAAAGATTCCTCATGGTTGGGTCGAGAATCCCTGTCTTGGTGACATTACCAGAAGTTGTCTTTGTCATGACAAGTTGACATTAAATTTGTTTGGGATGTCCTTATTATGACAACTTGACATTAACCAGGATGACATTACCAGAAGATGTCTTTATGTTAATGTCAAGTTGTCATTATAAGGACATCACAAGACATCCCAAACAAATCTAATGTCAACTTGTCATGACAAAGACAACTTCTGGTAATGTCACTTTAATTAATGTCAAGTTGTCATAATCAAGACAACCCAAACAATGTCAGCTTGTCATTACAAAAAATAAATGACACTTAATGACAGCAGTCATAAACGTTTATGACATGTATATAATGTTCATTACAGGATCATGACCATGTCATGTCATAGTCATGACAGTGTCATGTCACTCTTATGTAGATACCTTCAAGTAAAGTGTAACCGCATGAGACTGTCAGAGCTGGAAAACACTATAGTTTGGGCCAAATCTCCCAAAGGACTGATTTCCAAGATTCATGCTTCATTACTTTTCTTCAGGCTATGACTGTCTGAAGCTGTTGTAGGAGTGCGATGTGGAGGTGGTCCTGCAGACCGGTACAAGATCTGCAGTGGGGTTTTCCCTAAATGTACTTCAATCTCTATACATGAACAAAATTTTAAATTTTTTCACCGAACTTATTACACACCTGTTCGCCTCCAGAGAATGTTCCCTGACACCTCCAATCTTTGTTATATATGTAAAATACACAAAGGTACATTTATCCACCTGTTTTGGTCATGTGACCGCGTCCAGACTTTCTGGAAGGTGGTTCACTCTGTAATCCAGGAGGTCACTGGTAAACAGTTTTCACTAAGTCCTTCTTTCTGTCTTCTAAACCATACTCCAGACAATTTTTCTGACACGGATACCAAATCTCTGTTAATAATTCCTTTGTTTCTGGCTAAAAAATGTATCTTGCTGTGGTGGTCAACTCCCCAGGTTCCTACAGTCGACATGTGGATATCGCAGATTTCTGTTCTTATTCCTCTTGAGAAGCAGACTCATGACCTTAATCACAAATCGGACAGACTTTGCAGGATCTGGGAACCATTGCACTTATTCCTACAGAAACTATAACTCATCATCTGTCCCTGAAAGATGAGGGCTGACTGCCCTTTCATTTATTTTATATGTGCTACTCATTTACCTGTCTCCTTATGTGTAAATACATACATATATATATATATATATATA